GCGACAACTTAGGCCCTTCAAATTCGTTATGCTCACAGCTGTTATTTCTGATCACAGGGGCTGAGATATCTCCTCTCTCCCTAACAAGTAGTGGGCACGTGGTGTTCCAAGAGCCAGGACGTGGCACCCACCCCAGGCTGGGGAGAGTAGAGGAAGCGGCCCAAACTTTGGAGCTGCTGATGCTTGAGCTGAGGCTTGAAGGAGAAGAGCCAATCACCAGATGAAGAATTAGAGACTGGAGGTAGAGGACATGCAGATATGAGAGAGCAATACATATTTTGAGTGTTTTTAAATTACTTGTGATTTGCATACTTTGAATTTGACCATGTGCTAGACTTGAACCACTGAGTTACAATTCTGCAGGAGAAATCCCATTCGGAATGAAATCAAGTCCCCTCACCATCGCCAACTCTTCCCTCTGGGCCGTTCTTCCCTCCCCACCACCCTCCCACCTGCTCTTTCTATAGACTTGGCTCCGGGGGTGAACCAACCCCTTGAATGGGAGTCTTCATTCAACCACATCAGGACTAGACTTCTCAGCCCGAGATCTCTTAACCATGATTTAATAGACAAATCTACCAGTTCCTGAGAATAAATGTTCTAAGGTTGGTTCTACTCCCTAATTCAGGAAGGAAGATACAAGCTGTTTCTTTTGCAATAACTTCCAGCTTCTTTCTCCTGTCTAGATAAAGGTCAGGATGGAGGAGCAGATATAAAGAGAAGGAAAAATCAGCCCTGGCTTGGGACTTCCACACCACAGTCCAGTGCTTCCTGCTCAGTAAGGTAAAGATGACTGATGCACCTGTCTAAGCTAGGCCCACATGCAGACTCCATGGCCCTTCTGATGACAGGAAAGTAAATATGGTGGCAGTTAATTGTCCCCCTCTTTCTAGTACACACGTGCTATGCTTATATGGTTACTTATTACTATGTAGGCAAGAGAAAATAGTTTTTTGCTTCCATGCAGAACAGCGAAATCAGTTACAGTGTCATCAAAACTAAATAAATACCTTTTCTATCATCATAAAGGAAAACAGCCTTTTGAACAAGATGTTTTAGTGGAATATTCTTTTATTGTGGCTCACGGTAGGAGCATTATGATATTGTCACAACTAAATGATTGCCCTTTCTTCTGCCTATTAGAAAAATTAGCACAGTGTGAAATTGCACAGAATCTTTTTTCTCTTTTTAAAATCAGAGTGGAATAACATATAATTAATCATATGTGTCACCTGGGCTCATTTTTTAATGTGCCAAGTAATAGTTATCAATTTAAACTCGTTCTAATGCTGCAAGATTGAAACTCTTTACAGTTACGGGACAAGGTGATTTTGTGGGATGATGCTTTGTGGCCTGACACATGGTAGGTGCTCAGTGAAAGCCAGTTCAGTCTAGAATTGATTATGATGACAAGGAGTGCTCCCAGAGGAGCCACAGAATATGA